GGTGTTGTGGTACCTGTAGTGGTGCTTTCTGGTGTTGTGGTACCTGTAGTGGTGCTCTCTGGTGTTGTAGTGTCTGTTGTGGTCTCGGTTGTGGTGCGTTCTGTTGTCGTGGTCTCGGATATTGTGCTTTCTGGTGTTGTGGTACCTGTGGTGGTGCTTTCTGGTGTTGTGGTACCTGTGGTGGTGCTTTCTATAGCTTTGGTTTCTGTTCTTGCGCTTTCTGATGTTGTAATTCCAGGGGTGCTGTCATTGTGGTGCTTTCTGGAGTTGTCGTACCAGTTGTGGTGCTTTCTGTTGTTGTGGTACCTGTGGTGGTGCTTTCTGTTCTTGTAGTTTCTGTTGTGGTTTCTATTGTTGTACTTTCTGAAGTTGTAACACCAGTGGTGGTACTTTCTGTTGTAGTGTTTTCTGTTGTTGTGGTCTCTGTTGTCGTAATTTCTGGAGTGGTTGTGCCAGTGGTTGTACTTTCTGTCACTGTGGTGCTTTCTGGAGATGTGGTACCGGTTGTGGTGCTTTCTGTTGTTGTTGTCCCTGTTGTGGTCTTGGTTGTTGGGCTTTCTGGTGTTGTAGTACCCATGGTGGTGCTTTCTCTTGTTGTAGTGTCTGTTGTCGAGCTTTCTGTAGTCGTGGTTTCCATTGTTGTAATTCCTGAAGTTGTAATAACAGGGGTGCTACTTTCTGTTGTTGTGCTTTCTGTTGTTGTACTTTCTGAAGTGGTGTTGCCAATGGTTGTACTTTCTGTCATTGTGGTCCTCTCTGGAGTTGTAGTACCAGTTGTGGTGCTTTTTGTTGTTGTGGTCTCGGTTGTTGTGCTTTCTGCTGTTGTGGTATCTGTGGTGGTGCTTTCTGTTGTTGTAGTGTCTGTTGTGGTGCTTTCTGTAGTTGTGGTTTCCATTGTTGTAGTTTCTGAAATTGTAGTACCAGGGGTGGTACTTTCTGTTTTAGTGCTTTCTGTTTTTGTGGTCTCTGTAGTGGTACTTTCTGGAGTGGTTGTACCAGTGGTTGTACTTTCTGTCACTGTGGTGCTTTCTGGAGTCGTGGTACTGGTGGCTGTGCTTTCTCTTGTTGTTGTCTCTGTGGTAGTACTTTCTGTGGTGGTGCCTTCTGTTGTTGTAATCTCAGTTGTGGTGGTACTCTCTATTGTTGTGGTTTCAGTTGTTTCCCCGGGGGTGGTAATTTCTGTTGTTGTGGTCTGCTTTGTTGTACTTTCTGGAGTGGTGGTGCTAGTGGTTGTACTTTCTAACACTGTGGTGCTTTCTGGAGATGTGGTACTTGTTGTGGGGGTGCTTTCTGTTGTCGTGCTTTCTGTTGTTGTGGTCTCTGTTGTCGTAATTTCTGGAGTGGTTGTGCCAGTGGTTGTACTTTCTGTTACTGTGGTGCTTTCTGGAGTAGTGGTCTCGGATGTTGAGCTTTCAGGTGTTGTGGTACCTTTGGTGGTGCTTTCTGTTGTTGTAGTGTCTGTTGTCGTGCTTTCTGTAGTCGTGGTTTCCATCGTAGTAATTTCTGAAGTTTTAATACCAGTGGTGGTACTTTCTGTTGTAGTGCTTTCTGTTGTTGTGGTCTCTGTTGTTGTACTTTCTGGTGTTGTGGTACCTGTGGTGGTGCTCTCTGGTGTTGTGGTAGCGGTGGTGGTGCTTTCTATAGTTGTGGTGTCCATTGTTGTGCTTTCTGAAGTTGTAATAACAGGGGTAGTACTTTCTGGAGTTGTGGTTCCTTCTGTTGTTGTGATGTCAGTTGTGGTGCCTGTGGTGGTACTTTCGATTGTTGTGGTCTCCGTTGCTCTGCCGGGGGTGGTACTTTCTGTTGTTGTGGTCTCTATTGTTGTACTTTCTGGAGTGGTGGGGCCAGTGGTTGTACTTTCTGTCATTGTAGTGCCTTCTGTTGTTGTGGTCTCCGTTGTGGTGCTTTCTGTTATTATATAATAGTAAAACATTAATCAAACTTTGTTTAGCACTTTTAATAATAAATCCAGTTCAAAGTGCTTAACAAGAAAAATACCTACAAACAAAATTAAAAGTGTTCCACATTTACACTGCAACTTCACACACCAATGGTATCAATTGTTGTGGTATCACAACAACTGGTATCAGTATACAAAAAAATATTTAAAAAATACTTTTCTTGTGTTTTGAAAATCTGAAAGATTGAAGACTGTCTAATTTAAATTGGTTGACAGTTCCAAATTTTGGGGGTATAGTGGCTAAAAGAAGCACCACAGATTCACTTAGGATTTATTGCATAGTTTTCCAAAAGACCATCACTAGAACATTTTAAATTATGACTTGGAACATAATAACATGAAAATCAATCCTTTCTTGAACTGGCAACCAGTGTAATTGTATTAAAACTATTAATATGGTCTCTCCTTCTTGATTTAATCAGTACTTTGCCCGCTGCATTTTGTATCAATTGTAGCTAAGCTATGGTACATTATACATAGCATTACAGTAATCATGATGTGCAAAAATAAGTAAAGTTTTTGTCACTTTATTAATATGAGATTTAAAACTCAAATCTTAGTCCATAATCACACCTAGGTTCTTTACTTGTATCTTAGTTTTTAGAATAAAGGTGCATAATCCAGCTTCTATCCTTCCTCTTACATGCTCAGCGCCCTCAATAAGAGTTTCCGTTTTATCTTCAAGCAACAGTGTCTCTGAAATCAGCTGAAATTTATAATTATATATCATCTGCATAAAATTGCTAATGCATCCCATGTTTCTGAGTTATACTGGCCAGAAGTATAATGTATAATGATAATAAATGTAGCCTAAGAATTTAATCTTTAGGAACACCATATAGTATTTCATATTTATTTGATACATAGTCACCTATGTTAATAAATTATTACCTTTCTGCAATATATGTCTTGAACCAATTTAGAAGTTTAACCGATTAAGACTGATGCATTGTTCATATTGGTTTTTACCTCAAATTATTTACTACTTTAAATTTACTTACTTAAAAATTATATGTTAGAAATTGGTCTCAGAATATTACAGAGAAAACAATGCAGGTTTTTTCTTCCGATAATTGTCGTCTGTAAACTTTAAAGCATTGGAGAAACTTCCTGTTTTCAGAGAGCCGTTAACTATATTAATTAAGGACAAAGTCATTTAAGTAAAATAGTTTAGATATTGGGTCAGAATAGGAATATAACTGGAAAATAGTTTGCAAAAGTTTCTCTTTATTAGCTCTCCTGAACACTTCCATTTTATGCTGTAGATATATCCTTGATTCTTCTATAGCAATTTTATCAGTATAATGTACAGAAGACTTAATTTGTATTATAATAATAATAATAATTATTATTCAATATTATTCAACATGCAGCAAAATGTTCACACATGGATACAGAAGGATGATTTAACAAATTATGAGATTAGTTATTTAAAATAACATAAATAGTTGAAAAAAGCACTGGGATTGTTACCATTTCCACTAATACATTATTTATTTATTTTTAATAAAATAATTGTCTTTCAGAGTGCACGGTTTTTTATATATACCTGCATGTTATTTATTAGAATCTCACGATGACCTGACATGTGTGTTTATTCCTTAAGGGCAATTTATTAAATATGGATCTTATTTGAAATTTCTCTGGAGCCACTGTACACAGAAAAGTTTTTAAAAGACTTTAAAACTATCAACCTTTTGTGGTAATTTCTGTTTTTGTCTTGGTTGTTGTGCTTTCTGTAGTTGTGGTTTCCATGGTTGTACTTTCTGAAGTTGTGATACCTGGGGTGGTAATTTCTTTTGTAGTGATTTCTGTTGTTGTGGTCTCTATTGTTGTACCTTCTGGAGTGGTTGAGCCAGTGGTTGTACTTTCTGTCGCTGTCGTGCTTTCTGGAGTTGTGGTACCGGTTGTGGTGCTTTCTGTTGTGGTCTCGGTCGTTTTGCTTTCCGGTGTTGTGGTACTGGTTGTGGTGCTTTCTGGTGTTGTGGTACCTGTGGTAGTGCTTTCTGTTGTTGTAGTGTCTGTTGTGGTGATTTCTGTTGTTGTGGTCTCTGTTGTGGTCTCGGTTGTTGTGCTTTCGGGTGTTGTAGTGTCTGTTGTGGTGCTTCCTGTTGTTGTGGTCTCTGTTGTTGTACTTTCTGAAGTGGTGGTGCCAGTTTTTGTACTTTCTGTCATTGTGGTGCTTTCTGGAGTTGTGGTACCGGTTGTGCTGCTTTCTGTTGTTGTGGTCTCTGTTGTGGTGCTTTTTGGTGTTGTGGTACCTGTGGTGGTACTTTCTAGTGTTGCGGTACCTGTGGTAGTGCTTTCTGTTGTTGTAGTGTGGGTTGGGGTGCTTTCCGTAGTTGTGGTTTCCATTGTTGTACTTTCGGAAGGTGAAATACCAGGGGTCGTACTTTCTGCTGTAGTGCTTTCTGTTGTTGTGGTCTCTGTTGTTGTACTTTCTGAAGAGGTGGTGCCAGTGGTTGTACTTTCTGTCGTTGGGGTGCTCTCTGGTGCTGTGGTACCTGTAGTGGTGCTTTCTGGTGTTGTGGTACCTGTGGTTGTGCTTTCTGTTGTTGTAGTGTCTGTTGTGGTGCTTTCTGTTGTTGTGGTCTCTGCTGTGGTCTCGGCTGTTGTGCTTTCTGGTGTTGTGGTTCCTGTAGTGGTGCTTTCTGGTGTTGTGGTACCTGTGGTTGTGCTTTCTGTTGTTGTAGTGTCTGTTGTGGTGCTTTCTGTTGTTGTGGTCTCTGCTGTGGTCTCGGCTGTTGTGCTTTCTGGTGTTGTGGTTCCTGTAGTGGTGCTTTCTGGTGTTGTGGTGCCTGTGGTCGTGCTTTCTGTTGTTGTAGTGTCTGCTGTGGTGCTTTCTATAAGTGTGGTTTCCATTGTTGTACTTTCTGAAGTTGTAATACCAGGGGTGGTACTTTCTGAAGTGGTGGTGCCAGTTGTTGTACTTTCTGTCATTGTGGTGCTTTCTGGAGTTGTGGTACCGTTTGTGGTGCTTTCTGTTGTTGTGGTCTCTGTTGTAGTGCTTTCTGGTGTTGTGGTACCTGTGGTCGCTCTTTCTGTTGTTGTGGTGCTTTCTGTAGTTGTGGTTCCCATTGTTGTACTTTTCGAAGTTGTAATACCAGGGGTTGTACTTTCTGTCATTGTGGTGCTCTCTGGTGTTGTGGTACCTGTAGTGCTGCTTTCTGGTGTTGTCGTACCTGTGGTCGTGATTTCTGTTGTCGTAGTGTCTGTTGTGGTACTTTCTGTAGTTGTTGTTTCCATTGTTGTACTTTCTGAAGTTATAATACCAGGGGTCGTACTTTCTGTTGTAGTGCTTTCTGTTGTTGTGGTCTCTGTTGTTGTACTTTCTGAAGTGGTGCTGCCAGTGGTTGTACTTTCAGTCATTGTGTTGCTTTCTGGAGTTGTGGTACCAGTTGTGGTGCTTTCTGGTGTTGTGGTCTCTGTTGTGGCCTCAGTCGTTGTGCTTTCTGGCGTTGTTGTACTTGTGGTCGTGCTTTCTCTTGTTGTAGTGTCTGTTGTGGTCTCAGTTGTTGTGCTTTCTGGTGTTGTGGTACCTGTAGTGGGGCTTTCTGGTGTTGTGGTACCGGATGTGGTGCTTTCTGTTGTTGTGGTCTCGGTTATTGTGCTTTCTGGTGTTGTGGTACCTGTGGTCGTGCTTTGTGTTGTTGTAGTGTCTTTTGTGGTGCTTTCTATAGTTGTGATTTCCATTGTTGTACTTTCTGAAGTTGAAATACCAGGGGTGGTACTTTCTGTTGTAGTGCTTTCTGTTGTTGTGGTCTCTGTTGTGGTCTCGGTCGTTGTGCTTTCTGGTGTTGTTGTACTTGTGGTGGTGCTTTCCGGTGTTGTGGAACCTTTGTTGGTGCTTTCAGTTGTTGTCGTGTCTGTCGTGGTCTCCGTTGTTGTGCTTTCTGGTGTTGTGATATCTGTAGTGGTGCTTTCTTGTGTTGTAGTGTCTATTGTGGTCTTGGTAGTGGTGATTTCTGGTGTTGTGGTACCTGTGGTGGTGCTTTCTGTTGTTGTAGTGTCTGTTGTTGTTTCCATTGTTGTACTTTCTGAAGTTCTAACACCAGTGGTGGTACTTTCTGTTGTAGTGCTTTCTGTTGTTGTGGTCTCTGTTGTCAAACTTTCTGAAGTGGTGGTGCCAGTGGTTGTACTTTCTGTCATTGTTGTGCTTTCTGGAGTTGTGGTACCGGTTGTGGTGCTTTCTGTTGTTGTCATCTCTGTTGTGGTCTTGGTTGTTGGGCTTTCTGGTGTTGTAGTACCCGTGGTGGTGCTTTCTGTTGTTGTAGTGTCTGTTGTCGAGCTTTCTGTAGTCGTGGTTTCCATTGTTATAATTTCTGAAGTTGTAATTTTGCTTTCTGGAGTTGGGGTGCTTTCTGATTTTGTGGTACCTGCAGTGGGGCTTTCTGTTGTTGTAGTGTCTGTTGTGGTTTCCATTGTTGTACTTTCTGAAGTTGTAATACCACTGGTGGTACTTTCTGTTGTAGTGCTTTCATTTGTTGTGGTCTCTGTTGTTGTACTTACTGGAGTGGTTGTGCCAGTGGCTGTACTTTCTGTCAATGTGGTGCTTTCTGGAGTTCTGGTACCGGTTGTGGTGCTTTCTGTTGTTGTGGTCTCCGTTGTTGTGCTTGCTGGTGTTGTGGTACCTGTGGTGGTGCTTTCTGTTGTTGTAGTGTCTGTTGTGGTTTCCATTGTTGTACTTTCTGAAGTTGTAATACCAGTGGTGGTACTTTCTGTTGTAGTGCTTTCTGGTGTTGTGGTACCCGTGGTCGTGCTTTCTGTTGTTGTAGTGTCTGTTGTGGTGCTTTCTATAGTTGTGATTTCCATTGTTGTACTTTCTAAAGTTGTAATACCAGGGGTGGTACTTTCTGTTGTAGTGCTTTCTGGTGTTATGGTACCTGTGGACATGCTTTCTGGAGTTGTGGTACCTGTGGTGGTGCTTTCTGTTGTTGTGCTCTCTGTTGTTGTACTTTTTGGAGTGGTTGTGCCAGAGGTTGTACTTTCTGTCACTGTGGTGCTTTCTGTAGTTGTAGTACCGGTTGTGGTCCTTTCTGTTGTTGTGGTCTCGGTTGTTTTGCTTTCTGGTGTTGTGGTTCCCATTTTTGTACTTTCTGAAGTTGTAATACCAGGGGTGATACTTTCTGTTGTAGTGCTTTCTGTTGTTGTGGTCTCTGTTGTTGAACTTTCTGAAGTAGCGGTGCCAGTGGATGTACTTTCTGTCATTTTGGTGCTTTCTGGGGTTGTGGTACCGGTTGTGGTGCTTTCTGTTGTCGTGGTCTCTGTTGTGGTCTCGGTTGTCGTGCTCTCTGGAGTTGTGATACCTGTGGTGGTGCTTTCTGTTGTTGTTGTACTTACTGGAGTGGTTGTGCCAGTGGTTGTACTTTCTGTCACTGTGGTGCTTTCTGGAGTTGTGGTACTGGTTGTGGTGCTTTCTGTTGTTGTGGTCTCGGTTGTTGTACTTTCTGGTGTTGTGGTACTTATGGTCGTGCTTTCTGGTGTTGTGGTACCTGTGGTGGTGCTTTCTGGTGTTGTGGTACCAGTTGTTGTGCTTTCTGTTGTTGTGTTCTCAGTTATTGTGCTTCCTGGTGTTGTGGTAGCTGTGGTGGTGCTTTCTGTTGTTATAGTTTCTGTTGAGGTGCTTTCTTTAGTTGTGGTTTCCATTGTTGTACTTTCTGAAGTTGTAATACTAGGTGTGGTACTTTCTGTTGTAGTGCTTTCTGTTGTTGTTTTCTCTGTTGTTGTACTTTCTGGAGTGGTTGTACTTTCTGTCACTGTGGTGCTTTCTGTTGTTGTGCTTTCTGGAGTTGTTTTACCGGTTGTTGTTCTTTCTGGTGTTGTGGAACCTGTGTTGGTGCTTTCTGGTGTTGTGGTACCTGTGGTGCTGCTTTCTGTTGTTGTAGTGTCTGTTGTGGTGCTTTCTGTAGTTCTGGTTTCCATTGCTGTACTTTCTGAAGTTGTAATAACAGGGGTGGTACTTTCTGTTGTGGTGCTTTCTGTTGTTGTACTTTCTGAAGTGGTGGTGCCAGTGGTTGTACTTCCTATCATTTTTGTGCTTTCTGGAGTTGTGGTACCGGTTGTGGTGCTTTCTGTTGTCATGGTCTCTGTTGTAGTCTCGGTAGTGGTGCTCTCTGGTGTTGTGGTACCTGTGGTCATGCTTTCTGGAGTTGTGGTACCTGTGGTGGTGCTTTCTGTTTTTGTGGTCTCTGTTGTTGTACTTTCTGGTGTTGTGGTACCTGTGGTGGTGCTTTCTGGAGTTGTGGTACCGGTTGTTGTGCTTTCTGTTGTTGTGGTTTCTATTGTGGGCTCGGTTATTGTGCCTCCTGGTGTTGTGGTCGCTGTGGTGGTGCTTTCTGGTGTTATAGTTTCTTTTGTGGTGCTTTCTTTAGTTGTGGTTTCCATTGTTGTACTTTCTGAAGTTGTAATACTAGGTGTGGTACTTTCTGTTGTAGTGCTTTCTGTTGTTGTTTTCTCTGTTGTTGTACTTTCTGGAGTGGTTGTACTTTCTGTCACTGTGGTGCTTTCTGTTGTTGTGCTTTCTGGAGTTGTTTTACCGGTTGTTGCACTTTCTGGTGTTGTCGTACCTGTGGTGATGCTTTCTGGTGTTTTGGTACCTGTGGTGGTGCGTTCTGTTGTTGTAGTGTCTGTTGTGGTGCCTTCTGTAGTTCTGGTTTCCATTTCTGTACTTTCTGAAGGTGTAATAACAGTGGTGGTACTTTCTGTTGTAGTGCTTTCTGTTGTTGGGGTCTCTGTTGTTGTACTTTCTGAATTGATGGTGCCAGTGGTTGTACTTTCTGTCATTGTGGTGCTTTCCAGAGTTGTGATACCGGTTGTGGTGCTTTCTGTTGTCGTGGTCTCTGTTTTGGTCTCAGTTGTGGTGCTTTCTGATGTTGTGGTACCTGTGGTGGTGCTTTCTGGTGTTGTGGTACCTGTGGTGGTGCTTTCTGTTGTTGTAGTGTCTGTTGTGGTGCTTTCTGTAGTTGTGCTTTCCATTGTTTTACTTTCTGAAGTTGTAATACTAGGGGTGGTACTTTCTGTTGTGGTGCTTTCTGTTGTTGTACTTTCTGAAGTGGTGGTGCCAGTGGTTGTACTTTCTGTCATTGTTGTGCTTTCTGGTTTTGTGGTACCTGTGGTGGTGCTTTCTGTTGTTGTAGTGTCTGTTGGGGTACTTTCTGTAGGTGTGGTTTCCATTATTGTACTTTCTGAAGTTGTAATACCAGGGGTTTTGCTTTCAGTTGTAGTGCTTTCTTTTGTTGTGGTTTCTGCTGTTAAACCTTCTGGAGTGGTTATGCCAATGGTTGTACTTTCTGTCATTGTGGTGCTTTTGGGAATTGTGGTACCCGTGGTGATGCTTTCTGTTGTGATATCAGCTATGGTACCTGTGGTGGTACTTTGTATTGTTTTGGTCTCGGTTGTTGTCCCGGGGGTGGTACTTTCTGTTGTTGTTGTTGTTGTTTCCGTTGTTCTGCTTTCTGGAGTGGTTGTGCCAGTGGTTGTAATTTTTGTCACTGTGGTGCTTTCTGGAGTTATGTTATCGGTTGTGGTGCTTTCTGTTGTTGTGGTTTCTGTTGTAATACTTTCTGTAGTGGTGATGCCTTCTGTCATTGTGTTCTCTGTTTTGGTGGTACTTTCTATTGTCGTGGCCTCAGTTGTTGTGCCGGGGGTGATTCTTTCTGTTTTTGTGGTCTCCATTGTTGTACTTTCTGGAATAGTGGGGCCAGTGGTGGTACTTTCTATTCTTGTGTTTTCAGTTGTTGTGCTTTCTGGTGTTGTGGTGCCTGTGTTGGTGCTTTCTTTTGTTGTTGTTGTAGTGTCTATTGTGGTGCTTTCTGTAGTTGTCATTTCCATTGTTTTACTGTCTGAAGTTGTAGTACCTGGGGTGGTTCTTTCAGTTGTTGTGGTCTTTGTGATAGTACTTTCTGGAGAGGTGGTGCCTTCTGTTGTTGTAATCTCAGTTGTGGTTCCAGTGGTCGTACTTTCTATTGTTGTGGTCTCTGTTGTGCTTTCTTTTGTGGTTGTGGCAGTGATTGTACTTTCTGTCACTGTGGTGCTTTCTGGAGTTGTGGTACCAGTGGTGGTGCTTTCTGTTGTTGTGATCTTTGGGGTAGTACTTTCTGGAATGGTGGTGCCTTCTGTTGTTTTGATCTCAGTTGTGGTGTCTGTGGTGGTACTTTCTATTGTTGTGGTTTCAGTTGTTGTATTCGCTGAAGTGGTTTTGCCAGTAGTTGTACTTCCTGTCATTGTGTTGCTTTCTGGAGTTGTGGTCTTTGTTGTGTTTTCTGGTGTTGTGGTACCAATGGTGGTGCTTTCTGTTGTTGTAGTGTCTTTTGTGGTGCTTTTTGTTGGTGTGGTCTCCATTTTTGTACTTTCTAAAGTTGTGAAGCTAGTGGCAGTGTTTTCTATTGTTGTGGTGTCTGTGGCAGTACTTTCTGGAGTGGTGTTGCTTTCTGTTGTTGTGGTCTTGTTTGTGGTGCCTGTGCTGGTACTTCCTGTTGTTGTGATACTTTCTGTACTTGTGGTCTCTGGTGTTGTACTTTCTGGTTTTGTTGAATCGATGGTTCTACTTTCTGTCATTGAGCTTTCTGTTGTTATGAGCGCTGCTGGTGTACTGTCTGGAGTTTTGGTCATGGTCGTGGCCCTTTCTGTTGTTGTAGTTTTCTTTGTGGTGCTTTCCGGATTTGTTATGCTAGTTGTAGTGCTTTCTGTTGTTGAGGTTTCTGTAGTATCACTTTCTGGAGTGGTGGTGCCAGTGGTTTTACTTTTTGTTGCTGTGGTGCTTTTGGTTGTTGTGTTTTCTGTTGTTGTGGTGCCTGTGTTGGTGCTTTCAGTTTTTGTAATGTCTATTGTGGTCTCTGTGGTAGTTCTTTGTAGTGGTACTGGATTGGTTGTGCCAGTTGTGATGCTTTCTGTAATTGTGGTGGTTTCTACTGTTGCAGGCTCCGTTGTTGTACTTTCTGGAGTTGCGGTAGCAGTGGTGGTACTTTCTGTTGTTGTAGTTTCCATTGTTTTACTTTCTGTTGTTGTGATGGTGTTTTCTGTTGTTGTGATCTTTGCTGTTGTACTTTCTGGAGTTGTGGTGCCAGTGGTGGTGCTTTCTGTTGTTGTGGTTGTTTCTACTGGTGTGGGCTTCATTATTGTACTTTTGGGAATTGTGGTGGCAGTGGTCGTACTTTCTGTCTTTGTGCTTTCTTTTGTTGTACTTTCTGGGGTTGTGGTTTCAGTGATGTTACTTCTTGTATTGTCTGTTGTGGTACCAGTGGTGGTGATTTGTGTTATTGCGGTGGATCCTATTGTTTTGGTCACTGTTGTGGTGCCTTCTGGATTGGTGATACCAGTAGTCATACCTTCTGTCATCATGGCTTCCATTGTGGAACTTTCTGGAGTTATGGTACTGCGGTCTGTTGTTTTTGGTTCTGTGGTAGTACTTTCTGCATTCCCAGTGACCGTGATTGTAGTTTCTATGAATGTTGTTTTCATATTTGAGGTTGTTTCTATCATTGTAGTAGTATAGGAAATGTTGTTCTTCCCAATATCTGAAAAAAAAAAAATATCATAATAATCATTTAAACAAGATACATTTATATATATGTATATATATA